TTACATTACAACACTGATAATTTTTTTTCTTTCACTTTTGGTAATATTGGAGATTGAACTGAGGGCCTCACATATGTAAGGCAAGTGCTCTACCACTGAGCTACTTCCCCAACCTTTTTTTTGTTTTTATATTTGAGACAGAGTCTCACTAAGTTGACCAGACTGGCCTTGAACTTATGATTCTTCTACCTCAGCCTTCTCAGTACATAGGATTACAGACATGTGGCACCAACCCTGACTGGACTGAGGAGGGTTGGTTTTTTAAGTATTTACCAATATGCATTTTTAAAAACTTTAAAAATAATTATAAATTCATGAGATGTTGCAAAATAATAGTACCCTTAGTTTTTTCCATTAGTAATATGTTGCATAATTATAAAATGATATCAAACCAGGAAGTTGACATTGTGACAATCCACAAAGTGTATTCAAGTTGCAGCAGTTTTACATGTGCCTAGGTGTGATTTTAATTGAGTGTGAGTTTATCACAAGTGTAAATCCATGAACTACTACCATAGTCAATATAATTGTATGGATTTCTTGTGCTATCCTTCTATAGCTACCCTGACCTTAACCTTCTGTCCCCTCCACTAACCCCTGTCAACCACTGATTGGTTCTCCATCTCTATAGTTTTGTCTGTTTTTGTTTTCAGTTTTTCAAAAGATATAATATTTTTCGTTGTATGTATTTACTCATGTGTAATACTTAGAAATTTAGCTGCATTGGCAACTATGTCTTGTTTTTCATGTAAAAGGCTGGAAAATGGAAATAAAGAAAGCAACAAARGGAAAAGCAGGAAGATGCAGAGGTGAAAAACTAAAGACTGTGATAATATTGGTGAGGAAGAAGTAGGTGATGGCAAAATAAATAATTCTAGAGCTAAGGCTCAATATATTAGATTGATATTTCTAGTTTCAAGGAATGTGATCTCATGATCTTACTAGATGTTCACATAGGAAAAACTAAATTCTGTGCTTTTATAGCTAAAGCATTATAATTTTAGTGAAGTTTTTGACAGTCAGGAATCCATATCCAAGTGAGGCTGCATTAATCCTCAGGCAGCAATGATTTTGCAGATCTGTGTTGTTGGCAGGGTTCCCTTTTAGTTCTCAACTTCTACTTTTGCTGCCAGGTTTATCTTTTAGGGAGAGATGTAGAAGGTCCCGTGTATGTCCACGACCCAAGCACTTTTAATTCACCTGGTTGCAGTGGTTGCCTTCTTAAATCAGGGGTTCAGGAAAAGCCAAAACAACTCTAAAAAGTAGATCTAGACCTAGAGAAAACAAGAATGGCCAAGTATTGACAGTCATTAAACTGAGTAGGAGCTACTTGGGAGTTCTTTACTCTGTTCACTTGACTTTTGTGTGTTTGAAATTTTCCATAATTAGAAAGTTGAAGAAGAAGATAATAAAAGCAGAAAGCAAGAGAATGGTTGTGAGTGAGAAAGTCAGAGCCTGTTGAGGGCAGCCCATGTCAGGAACTGAACTGTTTATATGAACTTTGAAAATGAAAGCAGTTTTTTTTAAAGTTGAATTTTTTAAAAGTTGGCCTTATTCTTACATCTCATTTGATTATTTACAGAGGACTTGCTGTGTGCCAGGTGCCTTTCTAGACAGCAAGCTCAGCAGTGAACATCTCAGATAAAACCCCTACTTTTCAGAGGGCTTACATTGTATGCAGTAAACACCTCATTATATAGAGTATGTCTCCCTAAAAGACAAACCTGGCAGCAAAAGTAGAGTATGTGATATGTGCTATGTCGTAGACCAAGACAGCAGAGGTGATGTTGCACTTTTAAGAGGACAGGGAAGACTTCATAGAGAAGGTGACCTTTGAGCAGAGACTGGAAGGTAGGGCAGAGGAAATTGTACAGGACTCTGGCAAAAGCCCTGAGGCAGATACAGTTGAGTTTCACTTGAAGCAGGGTCTGTGGTATGTGATGGATGGCAGGAAGGTCAGAGTGACTGGGTTGTGGTATACTGTATAATGGATTTCCAGATGTGTCCATGTCCTAGTCACTGGACCCTGTGAACATGCTTTCATGGTAAAGGGCCTTTGCAAATGGGATTAAGTTAAGGATCTTGAGATGAGATGGGGGATTATCTTGAATTATCCAGGTGGGCTTAATGTAATTACAAGGCTCAGAGAAGAGAGAACTTGCTTATGGCTTTGAAGATGGAATAAGGGGTCCAAGCTAAGGAGTAGAGATGGCAGCTAGAAGCTGCGAAAGGTAAGAAATATATTTCCCCTGGAGCCTCCAGGAAGAATGCAACTACTACCTTGATTTTAGACTTCTGGCCTCCAGCACTGTGAGAGGAAATCTCTGTTGTTTTACATCACTAAGTTTGGTAGTGTGTTAGAGTAACCATGAGAAACTAATAGAGTGGCACTAATAGAGTGGGAGGGAATAAGAGGAAGAAACTAATAGAGTGGGAGGGAATAAGAGGAAGGATGGTCAGAATGTAAAAGGCGTTTTAGCCCACTAAAAGAATTTGAAGCTTCATTCTGAGTGGCCTGGGAAGGCTTTGAGTGTTTTGAGCAGAGGAGTGACAAAGGCTTACTTTGATTTATTTTATTTGTTTTGTAGTACTGGGGATGGAACCCAGGGCCTTGTGCATACTGGCAGGCACTCAACCACTGACCTACACCTCCAGCCCCTGACTTTCTTTTTAAGTGGGATCATTTTGGCTGCTGTGTGGGGAATAGGCTGTTGGGGGACAAGCATGGCAGTAGAGAGACCACTCTGACCTGAAATCATCCAGAGAAGAGAATGTTGGCTGGGCCAGGCTTGCCCCAGCAGAAGTGGACAGAGTCAGAATTGCCGGATGGGTTGAATGCAGGAAGAGAAAGAAAAGTCAGCTAAGACTTCTGARGTGTGGACTAAGGAACTGGAAGGATGAGCTTGCAATTTGCTGAGAAGGTGAAAACTGTGTGATGAGCAGGTTTGAGGGGAAGACCAGTAGTCAGGTGTGAGGCTGAAGGTGAGTTCTGGGTTGAGCTCTGGGTTGGAGATGTTAACTTGCGAGCCCTTTGCACGTCAATAGTATTTGAGGTAGGTAACTCAAGAGAACATGAAGGAAGTGCATGTGGGAAGAGGAGGGTATTCAGGGATGTCTATGGATATGGTGTGTTCTCCCCAAGCAGATGTGGTATGTGAAGGTGTGAATGGAACAATGACATTTCCCTTTTGTAATCTTTGTTGATAACTTTAATCCAGGCAGAGCTAACACAGCTAATTTTCCAGCCACCAGCTCACTCCTCCCCATCCCCCACCCCAAATGTGGTGATTCACAGTGGTGCTATAAAACAAAATGCTGGAGACACTTTTATTAGCAAGTTCTTGCAGCTGAGGCTCACTCAGTGGGGCTTTCACTGAGCCAGGGCCTTTCAATTCTGGTGAATTAAAGAAAGACCATTGGACCTTTGGAAAATTCAGGCTTGTAAACTTGCTACATTTAATATAAGTCAAGAAATCAAAACAATTAGAAAGATTTTCTTTTGGTTAGCCCCTTTAAATTTTGCTTGTGAAAATTTAACTAGATCCTTGCTGATTTTTTTTTCTTCGGAATTAAATTCTTAAAGGCTGTCATTTTTCTTCTCCTTTAAAAGAAGTTAAAAAGCACCTTCCATTTATAGTTTGCTAAAGAAATTGCTGGCATACTTTCATTTTTAATGCATAATTGTGGGTACAATCCTGATCCCTTTTTGGAAGTAATTCTCACCTCTACCTTTTGTAAATCCCTCAAACAGATAGGGGTGTGTGTGTGTGTGTGTGTGTGTGTGTGTGTGTGTGTGTGTATTATCCAGGATCCTGAATATTATTTTTTGCAGACTAAGAACTGAGTTCTGGCATTAGTGATGTGGATAATGCACCAAAATGTCAACTTTTTATTCTCAGTTTTTTAGTTTGTAAACCTGTTTTGCAGTTTTCAGATTGTTATTTAAAACAACTTGGATCTTCTTTGGAGCTGATAGAAGGTTTGAGATGTTTGCAGCTCCTGAAAGTCCCACTGAGAACTTTCTCCATTTTTTTTTCTTCATACATGTACTTTGGATAATGATGATCATCAATTCCACTATCATTTCTAACCCCATGTCCCCTCCCTTCCCTTCCCACCCCTCTGACCTATCTAGAGTTCGTCTGTTCCTCCCATGCTCCCCCTCCCTACCCCACTATGAATCAGCCTCCTTATATCAGAGAAAATATTCAGCATTTGGTTTTTTGAGATTGGCTAACTTCACTTAACATTGTCTTCTCCAACGCCATCCATTTACCTGCAAATGCCATGATTTTATTTTCTTTTATTGATGAATAATATTCCATTGTGTCTAAATGTCACATTTTCTTTATCCATTCATCTACTGAAGGGCATCGAGGTTGGTTCCACAGTTTAGCTATTGTGAATTGTGCTGCTATAAACATTGATGTGGGATGTGTCCCTGTAGTGTGCTGTTTTTCAGTCCTTTGGGTGTAGACCAAGGAGAGGGAAAGCTGGGTCAAATGGTGGTTCCATTCCCAGTTTTTTAAGCAATCTCCATACTGCTTTCCATATTGGCTGCACCAATTTGCAATTCCACCAGCAGTGTATGAGTGTGCCTTTTTCCCCACATCCTCACCAACACTTATTGTTGTTTATATGCATAATAGCTGCCGTTCCAACTAGAGTGAGATGAAATCTTAGAGTGGTTTTAATTTGAATTTCTCTGATTGCTAGCAATGATATATTTGTTGATTGAGTGAACTGTATATCATCTTCTGAGAAGTGTCTGTTCAGATCCTTGGCCCATTTATTGCTTGGGTTATTTACTTTTTGGTGTTTAGCTTTTTGAGTTCTTTATATCCCTAGAGATTAGTGCTCTATCTGATGTGTGAGGGGTAAAGATTTGCTCCCAAGATGTAGGCTTTCTCTTCACCTCACAGGTTGTTTCTTTTGCTGAGAAGAAACTTTTTAGTTTGAATCCATCCCATTTATTGATTCTTGATTTTAATTCTTGAGCTAAAAATATGGAACCCTTCACGAATTTGTGTGTCACCCTTGTGCAAGGGCCATGCTAACCTCTGTATCATTCCAATTTTAGTATATGTGTTGCCAAAGTGAGCATAAACTTTCTCCATTTTAAAGTGGCTGAAATATGTTTGGTTTAGTTCTTATGACAACCCATCCAGAATGTTTAATGTACTTGGGATCTTCTAATTTGTAGTCACTGAGCACTGGGTTTGCATGCTATTAAAATAGTGATTTAGAAGCTCCATCTGAGAGAAGGGGAAAAAAAAAGATTTTGGACTCCAGAATTTAAAGGTCTCTATTTGGGTTCAGTCTTTTGACCTAGACTGACTGTATGAGCAGGAACCAAACTTTCCCATGTATAGTTTCCCCAAGAATGGGAAGCAGCCCTCAGTTGGGGTACATCTGTGGATTGGGTCTCACATGCAGGTAGGTGTCAGTATGGCAGACTGAAGTAAAGTACTGATGAGAGTTGCTGACCTTAATGTCATAGATGTAGTTGGTGCCCAACTTACATCTTGACTAATTTGTCTGCAAAGCACTGGGCTTTTGAAACACTTCTTGGAGGAAGAAGTCGGGAACCAAAAAAGTCTGGGAAACGCAGCTTCTTACATTCCCATCTTAGAGATAAGCAGTCTGTGAAAAGCTCTGAGAAGTCCTGCAACAAAGAATCCTGCTTAGTATTGTTTAAACCAGTGTTCCCTAGACTGACTTGATTGTGGAATACTTTTTTTTTAAGTTTTATTTTCTTAAATAATTTTTTAATTTTTTAGTTGTAGATGGACATAATATCTTTATTTTATTTTTTTATGTGGTGCTGAGGATCGAACCCAGTGCCTCACGTATGCCAGGCAAGCACTCAACCACTGAGCTACAATCCCAGCCCCCCCCCCTTTTTTAAAGAAACTTATCAGGGTTGTGGCTAGGGCTGTGGCTCAGTGGTAGAGCACTTGCCTAGCATGCATGAGGCATTGGGTTTGGTCCTCAGCACCACATACAAATAAACATATAAAATAAAGCTATTCTGTCCATCTACAACTATAAAAAAATTTTAAAAAAGAAATTTATCAGCACACTGGGGAGCTATTGTTCTGCTGAACACACTTTGGGTAGTGCTGGTCTATTTAATGAGGTAATAATGACATTTTTATGGCCTCTTTGCTATTCTGAGTCTTGTTCAGTAGTTACATTTTTATAAAAATTTTGTTTTATAATTTTTACAAAAAGGGCTCACGTATCCCAAGGATCAGAGTTAGTTACTCTGTGTTTGGTTAGCACTTTCTACCTTGGAGAACCTGGGAGGATTTCTATAGGTTACTCCTCATCTTATGGCTCATTTGCTCCTGAGTTCCAGAGATCTGTTAGGGGGTGTACTCTGCTCTGAAACTATTTGAATTGTGGTCTGGCTCTATCACAGCTGATGTTGGTCCATCCCTTTCTGTGCTTCTTGAATGCCTACTGCTCAGACTCACTCTGGCACAGACAGATGGACAGACACTACCAGGGTGTCATGGGTAGGCTCAGCTGTGGATCACATATGCCAAAAATAAAACCACAGTGTTCTGTCTAGTCAAAACTGGGGCTCCAGTGTTATTGAGTCATTATTCCATTCTTTATTGTCTGACCACTTGTGATCAGATGAGAATTTGTTTCCTGAGCCCTTATGGCTAAGATGGAAGAGTGTGGGATGATGGTGTGGTTAAGTGGATTTGTAACTGATGCTGTGGCCTTACCCAGGGTGAGTTGCTTAATGGATCCATGTCAGCAGTGGGGTGGACTCCAGTGGTTTGCCACAGGGCCCTGTCCAGCCTCAGCCTCATCTTGGTTAATTTTTTTTTAAATAATTAAGACACAAAGGCCCACGTATCATATTTTGCAGGGAATTTATATATGGGAGAATTAGCTAGTACGGTGGAAAACAGTTAGGATTCAGAGATGATCTGAGGGGGCTAAAATGTTGAGGGGCATTGGACAGGCAATGAGGTAGCCCTTAAAACAGATAAGAAGTTTAGAAAGTTAAGAATTTAGGTGTAGCCAGATGCAGTGGTGCATACCTATAATCCCAGTGGCTTGGAAGGCTGAGGCAGGAGGATTACAAGTTCAAAGCCAGCCTCAGCAACTTAGTGTGGCCCTTATTTTGAGACCCTGTCTCAAAATAAAAAACAAAAAGGGCTGGGAAAATAGCTCAGTGGTGGGGTATCTGACAGGCATTTGTGATGCTTGAGTTAGCACTGAAAAAAACAAAACCAAAAAACCTTAATGTCTGATGAGATCATATTGTTTGTGGCACTTGGCAACCCATATATGGGGGACTGTTTGGTTCTGAGTACCTTATTTGAAGAGGAACTCTATAAATGCACAGCTATTAGGGTTCATTCAGATAGTGATGTGTATGGAAATCAGTCATAGATAGTTGAAGGAAATGGATAATATTTAGACCAGTGAAGAAATGGCTGAGGGACGTGTGATAACTGTCTTCATCTACGTGAGGGACTGTCGGAAGATTAAATAGCTTTCTTCATCCAAAGAGCAAAATCAGGGCCATGAGTAGAAGTCATTTTCATCACAATGGAGGAAGCACATTCTAATAGTTAGATGGCCTTGTGAGAGACCCAAGTGATTTGGAAGGTCAGCTCTTCACTGGCAGCATTCCAGGACTGCCTGGACCTCTGCTGTTCAGAAAAGCTGTGAGAGGCCTTCTTGCAGTGGGGAGATGTGCCCAGTTGATTGCCAGCGCCCTCGTAATTCTTCATTTCTAAACCATTGAAGGTGGGTGAGGCTTGAGCCTGTGTGACACCTTCAGCATTACAGTGTGACACTTCAGGAAAATGACAGAAGCTTTGCCATTTATTTGTGCCACATTTGAAGCTGTGGATTTCATGTGAAGTGCACAGCCTGTGTCTATAAGAAAGTGACTTACATGATGTGACTATTTATCACATGTGGAGCTTGTATGCACACATGTACGGCAGATATGTAATTAGGGAAACCAGAACTTAATGTGCCATCAGAGTGTTAAATTATTCAGTGTTCCTTTTGGTTGAATAAGATATAATAATGGTTATTTTTTATATAGCTTGCTTGAGATGGAAAGTCAAAAAATTTTTAGACTGAGATAGACTGCATTCTTGATTTCTGACTTTTACTTTGTAAGTTTTAGCTTCTTCCTATATGTCCTTTTTTATTCCTCTATTCTTTCATTATGGTCTTCTCTTGTGTTAAATAGATATTTTCTATTATGCACTTTAATCCCCTTGTTTCTTTCACTGGATTGTTTTTGAGTGAACATCTTAAAACAATCTAGTTTGGATTAATACCTACTTAATTCTAATAGACACCAAGAACTGCTCCATTATCATTGTATTTTGCATACATTGAAATACTTGGAACCTGGTGTCCCATAGGTCTCTGGGGGCTCTGTGCATTTTCTTCTTCATTTTTTTATAATTCTTTCTTGGATTGGATAATCCAAAAATTCGCTGATTTTTTTCTACCAGTTCATATTTGTTATTGAGTCTCTCTAGTGATTTTTTTTTGTTTCAAATTTTGCTGTATTTTTCAACACTAGAACTTCTACTTGTGTTTTTCTTTAGACGTGCTTTCCTTTAGTATTTTGAACATGTTTATAATAGCTGATTTAAAGTCTCTGTTTGATAAATTCATTGTCTATACCTCCTCAGGGACACTTTCTACTGACTGCTTTTTACCCTGTGCATACGTCCTACTTTCCTGTTTCTTTGAATGTCTTGCACTTTTTTGTTGTTATGGTTGTTAAAAACTGAACATTTAAAATAATGTTGCAACTCTGATAATCATATTTTCCTACCTCTGAAGAATTTGTTGTTATTACCATTTATTGTTTTTGGTTGCTGCTGTTAAGTGACTTCCCTAGTCTCTGTTCTTTATCCTCTATGGCCACTGAGGTTTCTGCTTGGTTAGCCAGTGACTGGACAGAGATTTTCTTAAATGTGCTCAGGTGTTCTTTGTATGTTGGGACACCCCCTCACTATCCCAACAGTTTACCACTCTGCCTTAGCCTTCACTTCCTGCCTGTGCAGGGCAAGTCAGCCAGAATTGAGAGATCAGGGCCCCATCCGTTTTTTTTCTGGGCACATGCACAGTACTGCACATGAACCTACATTCCAGACTCCCAGGAATAAATATATGAGAACCTTTCAAAGACAAACCCTGAGAACACCTCATCCCCCAGTTTTTCCTGTCTTTATAAATTTAAGCTTTCTTGGTCAGCTTCTTGTTAGCTCTACTGGCAGTGCCTCCTCTGGCATCTATAGTGCTAAATTTACTTAACACTTATTGCTTTAAACAAATGCCCTGGAGATGGGATAGAGGTCAGATAAAGACTAGTTTCAAGAACAGTTTTCCAGCCAGGTGCCAGACAAGCCAAATCCTTTGGGGATTGGAGTTTAGGGAGATCTAAACCTGTTTGGCACCTCTGGTGGCTGCGGGGCTGCTGGTTTTTACAGTATCATAGTTGTGAGGCTGTTGTTTCAGGGCTGCCTTGTGTCACTTCGCTGCTTAAGTACAAGTTGAAAGTCGAAGATCTTACTGATATGCAGCCATTTTTCATGATTACATGCACTTTAGAGTGTATCAAGCCTTTCATTAAATCTAGAGTCCTGAAAAAAGTCAGTTGTGACTGGGGCAGCATTCTCTGTGGTGTTATGGAGGAGCAGATTTTCAGAGATGCAAAAGTTAGCTTCCTATTTGTGCTTCATCCACCAAGGCCCCCTTGAGCAACGAGACTCTGCCTTGTGCATGATGCACATTCTTTCTCACTCTCTGATGCTTCTCTCTTCTCAGCTGTCTCTGGTTCACGAATTAGCCCCAAGGAGTGCTAAAGAGCACAGATTCCTACAAACCGCTGGTTACCACTCACTTTATTAGAAATGAGTTTCAACCTGCTTGATCCTGCATTACCAGCATGTACCATAAACTGGATCCTATTGATCTTCTGAATCACTCTCTCCTCTTGCCAGCAGAGTCCATTTTTTTGCAATCTGGCCAGCTTTGTACATTATCCTGTGATGAAGTAAATCCATTATTCCCCTAAATTATAGTTGGAAAACAAAACATAGC